AGCTGTCAATAATAAGCACAGTGGTTCAATGGTTCAACATTGTGGCTCATATTTTTCAATATTTTCACCAACACTTTGATGACATAGACTGCACCCTTGGGAAATTAGCAGAAGACACAAAGGTAGTGAGTGACAAAACAGAAGACTGTTAGTCTGGGGGAATCTTGGAAAATCTGGGGGTTGGGCTTTCAGAAACCTCATGGAGTTCAATAAGGGGAAGTACTAAGTGCTTTACCTTGAGCAAAATAACTCCATAAAGACTGGCTTTCTTAGCATCGATCTTCCTAGAAAGAATATAGGGGTTGCAGTGGATACTACCTTGAGTATGAGTGAGCAGTGCATGTTTATTGTCATGGAAACAAACCACATACTAGGTTACATAATGAAGAGTATTTGAAGGAGTCTACTGTTTAGTTCCATTATCTCACTTCAGTCCTTTCTAGATGACTGGCTTTGACTTAGATGCTTTATGGATATTTCCTTTATGATACTGTCTTCTATTGCGTGTTCTCTATTACATCCTTATGTCGTTGGCTCTGGGAAAAGCATTAATGCAACACCAAGTGTAGGAGGATGTTTGAGCTTGAGAAATTCCCAAAATGACTTTCAGTGGTTGTGTTTTCCATTCCATCAACTATTTTAGACCAGACTGTGCTGAGTGTGGGGTACTGATCTTGGTTACGTAAGCCTTTATCTGACCTTGGTCTCACTTGCCTAAGGGTCCCCTCAGGAACAGGAAGTTCCATGCTGAAGAGCAGAGCAGTATTTCCCAGATGAGCCTGAAGCGGTCTCCTGTTTTTTTTCCCCTTTGTTGTGTTCCGGCCAAGCAAACACTCAGCAAATGGAAGAGGACCTTTTAGTCAAATGTGAGGGAGGGGCAGTTCACATATTGCTCTTTCTAAGGTGAGTAATGGGACAGATATAAGAAAAATATCTCCTGTCCTAGCACTGCAAAGTGAGGAAAACTCCTTTAGCCTTCTGCAACTCCCCCTCTTTCCATTGGGGGCTTGATAGAAAGACTGCTGTGGTGTTTCTGTTTTCATTTTTCCAGGCTGGATGGAGAGGCAAGTTGCTCCATGACAGCTCTGAAGCCACATGGCTGCTGACTGGGCCTGGGAGCTGGCAGTGCACCGACTGGGTGGAGAACATGTGCAATCTCCGGAATCATGAAGACGACGGCCACACATTGTGGAAGGTTTTCCTTATTATGAGGTTTCTAGCAAGGGAAGATAAAGGCACAGGGAACAAAAAATGACAAGTCATTTATCATTCTCTCTTGAATCTGCTGCCTTTCCAAAAGATTCCCATTAGTCCAAGGAGGTGAAACAAAATACGAGATGCCAAACTGACAGAGAGTATGATATACTATAAGTATGATCTTTGAACTAATGTACTGGAATCTGAGACATCCTCCTCAGGTGACATATGCAGAGGGCCCAAGAAGGAAGATGAAATGTAAAGAATCATTTTCAGCTAATACCAGATTTATAAACATGGTGATGAATGTATAAAGGAGTATTGCCACAGTTACATACCATACTAAACCATACTAAACTACCTACTAACCATACTAAAAAGGATGATAGGCTTCTTACAGATGGATAAATTGCATCTGCTAAGCTTTTCAATTCCTGCACAGCTTGGAAGCCATTATAACAAAACTGAAAGACAAGTTTATCAAAGAACTACAGATCTCATTTGGAGTTAATGTCATGTGCCATACAAAGAATAATCAAGTCCATTTTTTGTTAAACAATTAAATTCACCAGAAGAAGGAGCAAAAATCTAGTCTGCCTTTCTCTCCCTTTATCCTTATTTTTTTAATTTTCATACTAAAAAAAGAATAAGAGCTTTGCATTTTCTTCAGTGAGATTTCTACAAGAATCTAATATTGCTTTTAGAACACAGACTTTAAATCTGTGTACAGATATACCTCATCACTATTCAGCTGCCACTGAAGCTGCTTGGAAAGACATAGGGAGGCTTAGAAAAGAATATTTGAACCATGGTGTTTTCAGAATGAACTATCTTGCTTCCAGAAGACCGGTCATTCTCTGTGACCCCTCCTGAAGTGTTACAGTTCTCAGAGATAAGAGGTTAAACATGAATATAGTACAGAATCATAGCAGCTCTGTGGAGGTACTTCAAATGGCGCATGGTACCTAACTCTTCAAAGGAGTATCTAACTCTTTAGAAAGGAAAGGACTGCTCTGCAGGACCCAGAAGGTGTTCTCAGTAACCTTATGAATTTCAAACTTCCATTATATGGAAGAGCTAGAATGTCCTACTTACATATTTTTTCTCTATCTTCTTCCTGACGAGTATGCTATCAATGTTAGACTGTCTGTTGTATATCTATAACATCAGAGAGAATAACCATAACACCTCTCCTAAGTTCTTCCGTAAATTCCTAAAACCAATGTAAGTTATATGCAGGTTTTTAATGCAACTATTCCCATGTTTACCTGATGTTTACTCCCACTGAGTGCTATCATGCTTAGCTATCCACACAATTAGAATTATTTGTACATGCATAAACAAGTTGCCTGTCTTCAGACACAGTGCGCTGCCATCAGCGTATCTGAACAGGGGAGCAAATAGATCTCTCAGTGTTGCAAATGGCACCTGAAACGTCCGTGAATTTTGCTCAGACTAATGATTATTTTTTGCTTCAGAAATGACAAAGCATTTTACAATTAAGTTTTTTTTTTCTTGATCTAAATCTTTATGTATAATGTACTCAGTTTTGTTAATACTTTATGTTGAATGATGCAATAAACCATCCATCAGAATCGATCTACCTAGGCTACATAGGAGCTGGATTGACTTGCTTTTGGAAAAAAAAGGTCTATATCCACAGGTTACGGATGCCAAGAACCTGATCCTCCCGGGAGTTTTCTGCATTTTAGTGGATTTTGTATTGCTCTTGGAAAGGCTGGAGGAGGTCAAAGTATTTGTGATCTAAGCCAAATATCTTGCACCAAGTAACTATAGTAACTGTCCAAGGCCTCTAAAACAGCAGTGTACTGGTGAATTAAAACTGGCAAATAAACCTAAATCATGGGGACAGCAAAATGTCAGTACATGGCCAAAACTTCTTCTACATACATATGTCTGAATAAACCAATTCCTAATTAAAATCATATTTCTAACTGTTGCCAAGCTCCAACAATTCAGAAGCAGGCAAAAAAATGTAATTCAGTATGTGCATCAAGTGGGGCAAGGAGTCCTCGTCTGGTCTTCTGAAATAAATCTGCAAAATCCCTGAAGGTCAGCATGAAATAATTAGAAATAGGTGCAACAACTAAAATAGAATATGGTAGTCTAAAATTGGAAGATAAGATTATTCTGGATTATTTATTTTCCAGATTTTTTATTTTCAGAATATTTCAGAATAGGGTTACCCCAAAGTTTTTCTTTGTAATATGAATTCTTTTCACTGTTGCTGAGTCCTGAGACACACAGTCTCACACGACCAGCAAGTCAGGAGTACAGAAGCCAACCGTTCCAAGTCCCACTCTCCTGCTCTATTTGCTGGACAGCACTTCCTCCTTTCAGATTCCTTGTCAAAATATTTATAGGAGATTTATTCCATAGCTAGTGAGACATCAAATATTTCTAAATATATCCACGACTAACACGAATGGGGATCATGCACTCAGGCAAGTTTGCCAAACAATGCTTTGCCAAAAATGTTTTGACCTAAGAAAGAGGAGGAGGGAGTTTTATGTGCGGACCAGAACCTATAAAAGCGCTGACCAGGACAAGTCTGCTCTGTCTCCTCAGAAAGCTTCAAGGTAAGAATATGGAGGGCTGGGTACTGTCAGAGTCCCATTTAGTTCCT